CCATCAACATCTCGTTGTTCGTCGTGGCATCCCGTTTGTTCGACGGTTCTGTTTTTCATCATCGCCGATGTTAGCATTTTTAGAGGAGGAAAAGTTGTGTGTCGTAAAAACACCATCTCCGACTATCTTTTTAAGAAATTGATGTTTATAATTGACTCCCCTGTTTAAAAACCAAATTTTTTTATTTTTGGTCGTCACAACATACCCCGTGTGCCCCTACGCATCGTCATGTGTATGTAGCACTATTCTGACGGTTCAAACTACTGAACTGATTTGCTAGGACGGGTATACCCAAACCGACCCTGGATCGATTAATCAGACTCGTTAACCCAACCCATTAACTTTGACCTGACCCGTTGATCATTAACCGTTAACTTTGATTGTTGACTGTTGACTTTGATCATTAACTGTTGACTTCTGCCGTTAACTTCTACCGTTGACTGTTGACCGTTGACTTTAACTGTTAATTTTATTAAAAAAAATCTATATATTTATGTTTTTTGGTGTCCTGTGTTTGATTTCGTGGTTTATTTCCAAATTCTTACCGAAAGCCTTGTTTTGTGTCATTTATATCTTAAAGTCTTAATTGTATTGAGTAAATTGTGAGATTTTGGACTCATTTTTTGTGTTATTTTCTTAAGGTGATCACCTACTTCCATATTGCTTTCCAGTAGATCCTGACCACACCTATTCAGCTCAGTTTGACTCCGCATATTCGTCTCGAGATATGCGTAGGTGCTGTTAGATTAATTAATAGTTTATTTATGTTTAGATTTATAGTTTTCGTATTCATAGAGTGATGTTACTATTAGGTCCCCAGGTCGCATGACCTAGTACTACCGATTGTGTGAAGCATAGGGCTTTGTCAGCATCGATTAGCTACTATAGGTTTGTCCCCTTGACATGTTTGGTACCTTTAATATTATATGCTATTATGTTATGTAATGTTATATATACACATGTACATATTTTGTCTACATTTATCTGAGTTATGATTGATATTTTATTAATGTTGTATCACTTTTAACATGTACATCGATGCATCTCTAATTTGCATGAGATTTATCCTCGTCTTGATTTTGCAGGAGATTATATCCTCGTCTTAATGATGTATGAGATTATATCCCCATCCTGATTCTGCATATGATTATATCCCCGTCCTGACTCTGCATTGGATTTTATCCCTGTCTTGTTTCTATTTAGAATCCTCTTCAGAAGGTTATATCCCCATTCTAATTTCGATTTCTATTGGGATCCTTTATGGAGGACGATATCATCATCCTGTTTCTAAATGAGATTCTCTATGCAGGGCTAAATATATATTCTGATTTTTTAATTCAGTTTTGGGTATCTTTTTGTAAGGTTTCATATCATGTTAACAAAAGGTAAGATTGTGAATTTCTTCTGTTGTGACGTTCTGTTGATAAAATATTCAAATTTTAATATTATTATTATTATTTTATTTATTACTTTATGCTTAAATTTTCTTCATTTTAATATTATCTGATTAAATCTAGAGGATACACTGAACTTTGCAGCTCACTCTGTTTCTGTCTTCCCTTTTTAGATTATTCAATTATGGGACCAGTTTGGATATCAGATGTGTAGTCTCGATTGTCGATTGTTTACTGTGTGAGGTTTAATATCTATTTTCAGTCTTATTTAAATGTGGCATGTGTTTATTTTTAATAATATATTTGATAAATATTTTTAAAATGATTTAGTAAACAAATTTCGTTGGTTGACCATTTTTGTGATCTACGTGTTCACCATGATTCAATTGTAACTCCTATGATGGATCTAGGGGTTACAAGAATAATATATATTTTTTATGATAAATTAAAAATAAAATATTTAAATATATTTTAAGTTTAAATACTAAAAAATATTTTTAAACGATAATAAAGATAAAATATATAATTTTACATTAAAATAAAATAAAATACTAAAGATATATAAATTTTATTGTATGGTATTACTAACTATATGCTTTGTCTTGATGAATAGTTTAATTTCTACCCTAGAACCCCAAGTTCAATTCCCCCCCCCCCCATCAAAGCATTTTCTTTCTTTTTCTACCCTCAATAACAAGTCGTATAAAAGCTGTAATTTATTACCAACGTGGCAACCTGGTTTAGTGGTTAAGGCACGCCTTACTCTTCTTCAATGTCTGAGTTTGAATCCTGTCTGTTACATCTTCAATTTGTTTTCATCACTAAATGTCTTGGTGTGTTAATTATAATTAATAAAATAATCTTTAATATTGTCTAATATGATATAAATTTATTTAATTTGAATTAAAATGAAGACTAAATTACTAAAATGTTAAAATATTGAGGACCAAATATAAAATTATATTAATTTTTTAACTATCGTGTCATCATCTCTGTTAAATTTTAAAGGTTAGTGGTCTGATTAATTAAATCAAAACATTAGTGGTCAAAGTAAAATAAGACAATAGTTAGGTGGTTAACCGTATAATTTACCCTATAATTTATTAATTATTGATTTAAAGCATTAAAAAGTTAACAAATTAGCTGAAGCAAAGTTGAAGTGTAAGTTTAATGATTGTTTTCTTCACTATCATGAATCCATGAATCATGAAAAACCACTATAAAATGAAAACAGTGGTACGAAAAAGCAGCACGTTATAACCCTCCCCTTTTTTTCCTTTAGTTTCAAGGATTCGATCTGATTAATCTAGATCGACTTGAATCGTACATCTGATTTTAGTGGGTGAATCTTCTAACAGCGATTTTCTTCACACACAATAATTCAAATTTAAGACTTTTCTTAAACAATATCAAATTATTTACTACTTAAATCAACCCGTTAATACATTATATCTCTTTTCCGTTGAACACAGTATGTTCCTTAATTCATAAGCATTGACTAGAAGAGGCTCTATCATTAAAGTGTCCCATAAAATATCATCAACATGCTTTAAACCCACTTCCTAATTTATTATCCAACCGCTCTTCATGCTATAATTTTACAAACCCCAAAATAATCATCATTTGATAGAGAAATGTTTTATTGAGTCGAGTTAAGTTAAAAATTTTAAATTAACAAGTCATATTTTATTATTTTAATTTTATTATAATTATTTATAATATTATATTATATATTGGTTTTAATTTCTCAACTTTTTCCTCACCATATATATATATATATATATATATATATATATATATATATATATATTCATATTCTTTTTCATATTGTAATGTTATTTAATAAATCAAATACAATCTAAAATTATAAAAATATTTCTAATCTTATTTTTCAAAAAATGTATTTTGAGGATAAAAATATTGATGAGAGTATAAAAGAGTCAAGGAATTGATGAGAGAAAAATATAAAACATTACAGTAAAAAGATTAAATTGAATAAAATACAAAGTTAAGAAATTAAATTGTAAAAAAGTATATTTATTGTTAAAAATAAGAATTGAAGTTACATAAGTATTATATAGTTGTAGAGGAGCACATGATTCAAATTTGATAAAAATATATACTTATAATAAAAGAGGAGTCGAGGAAATGAGGATATTTTATTTTTATTTAATTAAAATGTTGTCATCACGGGTTAACTGTTGTTTACAATTAACAGAATATGTGACATGATGATATAATCACACATTTGGTCGTTGTTATTTACATATTCTCTCAATTTAATCATACTTTTAAATCAATTTTAACATAAAATTTTTTTTTAAATGAAAATAAAAATAAACTATTTTTAAACTAAGTTAATAATAAAATATACTTAATAAATTAATGTCAATTTTTTTTATGATTTAAGTATTTATACACTAAGATACAAAATATAGACCATGTTATCTACTTTAGACTAAGCAATGGTCTTGGCTTAATGGTTGGATACATGTTAAGTTTCCTAAGTGACCAAGGTTTGAATCTTTTTTGTCCCAATTTGCTTTCCTTTGTTTTCTTTCAACCAGAGGGTGACACATGTCACACTTTGATTGCTAGAAATAAATATATTAAATTAAAATAAAGCTAGTCCTCCAACTGAATGGTGACTCGTTGCATGACATGTGGTATCATTCCATTAGAGGATTAAATTTATTTTAATTTATTAAAAATATGAATAAATTGAGAGAATATGTAAATAATAGGGACCAAATGTGTGATTATATCAAAATATTTAAATGTTGTTAACGGTAGTTAACTCGGGATGACCACATATTAATTAAATAAAAACAAAAGTGACTTTTGAAATAAGTGACCCAAAGTGGACAAAACACAAACATAAGTGATCATCCATGTAGTTAACCCACAAAAACTATACTTAAAATGGAGGAAGAATTAAATAAATGAAGAAATCAATGATCAAATAATAAAATTATCAAATTACTTAGTTAATTTTTTATTTTCAATTGACTCAAAAATTTCAAATTCAAACTCAAATCGAACTCAAATTTTGAATTGACTTAAATAACTAGAATAACTAAAAAAAATCATTTCTTAAATCGAATAAAATTTACTCACCTCTTACATCCTTTATAATATTAATATTATTTGATTTATAACTATTACTTTTTCTTTTAATATCAATAACTAATACTTAAAAAATCAACATAGAATTAATTGATGTATATACATATATATAATAATTATACTATACTTGAATGATTTTTTATGAAATTTTTATGTAATTTCTTTCATCCATATGACAAAATATAAGATTATTTAAACTCTACTCAATTATAATGCAAAGTTCAAATGTTGAAATACTCCTGCTTTTGAAGTTCAAATTTGGTGTCAAAATTTGGTACTTAATTCCAACACAAGTAATTTTACCACTGAACCAATAGTTTGTTAACCAAACTTACCAATGACTTGTTAAGATCATCAATCTCGTAATAAAATAAACATGCAAATTCAAATGGTTCAAGCAACCTTTCTTAAACTAATAACAATATGCAATACCAAAAACCTTTCTTAACCATTTTAAGGTAAAAAAACATTAATGTCATACAAACAAAAACAATGTATCCCTTTTTATACATATATAGGATTCGCCTAATCTTTGTCCAATTCATACGTCCTCCTCCCCACAAAGAAGTTAGCCGCATCCCGATTTACACTATATATATATACAGATGGAAGCACTGGAAGCACAGCAACTCTAAACAGCCTGCTCATCACCACAACCATTATTGTTGGGACTGCTCGTCAACATCAAAAGTTCCATTAGCTCAGACCGATACTCGAGGCCTCTAAGGTAGTGCCCCAACAGCATACACCTTCAAGAAAGATATGAGAATATCAGAGCTTGCAATATTACCATATCTAACAATAATAATAGTACGGGCTTTGACAAAAAGACGTTAAATGTTAGAGTGACTGAAGCTTATTCAGAGTTCAAACATGAAATTTTCTCAGATCTTCTTTCATTCTCCCAAAGTCTACTGATCAAACACATTAAGTTGAAATGCAAACAAGATTCCAATCTATAATGAGCAATAAGTGCAGTCGAATGCGCATTTCCTGTTAAACTTTCGAAAGAACCAGATTTCCTTTTAAAATATTTAAATTAAAAGTTTATACATAAACATGTTGAGTTGAAAATGTGTTAAATAAATGAGACAGACGGATGGAATGCAACAGTGCGGATGGACTAACCAGAAGAGAAGACGAGCAAGATAGTCCCGTGTTAATGAAATGAAGGGCTGGAATTGAAGTGAAGTATTCTCAACATGTCCGGCGCAATCTTCACTCCTAATATTTATAGTTGCAGTGTTCTCAGACAAAGGAGGAGTCTTGGAATACATCCTTGGAGAAAGAGTGGCAAGGAGACCGTGGACTACTGAGTAGATTGTGTCTTTCACTTCAGGAGATGTTGGTTCACAAAGCTCAGCGACCTGAAATTATGTTACAATTTTATTAGCCACGACAACATAAAAGCCAATCCTCATCCCTATACAATTTGGGGCACAAAATTGTCACATTGTAAAAGCTCTATTTAATTAGTTCAATCTTCCCTCCATATTAAGAATATAAAAGCAAAGAACTTAAATTGTATATTTATTTGGAGATTTTTACTTTCATAGCATCATGTTTATAGAAAATTAGTAAATCAATTTGCTTTAGAAGGTTTTGAGACCATGGGAAACCTTTTCTGGTTCTAGTGATCTCAAGTAGTCCAGTAAATCATTCTTTTCTTCCCCAACAAACTGTTGCATGTGCAGAGCAGCATTCTTCCTCTTTGCTTCATGAAGTTCCTTCAATAGAGCAAACAACAGAAATATGAGCATGTATCCCACCAAAACGCAGATAAGGATTTGAAGAAATTGTAAATAGAAAATGCATGATATGTACAGATGGATGGAAAAGAAAATGAAATATTCACCAATTTAAGAAGGTTCAGTCTTCTACTATAGTATGAATGTACGACGCAACTGTTAACATTTGAACCTGATAAACCATGGAACATACATCTCATGCAATGTAGATTTTGCAAAGCCAGAAATTTACCACTAACCAATACTTTCATGGTGATTAACTATCAAAATACAAAACTAGGAAAAAAGACAAGTAGATCTTAAATTTAGTTTTCTGTTCCCTCATATTTTTCCATTGACTGATCTTTTCAGTTAATCTCGTTGACACGTCTACCATATAACTACAGTTAATACTTTGTTTTCCAGCATATCTAAATTCTTTCTTAGTGAGATTATCAACAATCTAGAATGTGTAACAGTCTGACAGAACAAGTTGGTCTAATATCCTATCCCAAATGAAATATAAAGGCTATCAAGGGAGAATGACTAATAAGTTTCAGAAATATGCCTAAAATATGCTATCAATAGAGATAATGGCATATTTTAGGCCTTTCTACCATCTTTTGAGTACTTTTAGCTGATGTAAGCTATAATGTGTAATGTATTTCTAATTACAAACTCACACTAAAAGTAAAAGTAACTTTATCCAGACAATGCATCAAGCAAATAGTTCAAAATTTGAAGGGAAAAACAAACCATGAGAGGCTCCTCAATATGCTGTAGCATTACCTTTTTCACTGCAGTTAGACGGGACTTCAAGTGAAGAATGTATTTACTTGCTTCCAGGGGCATTTCACCCAGGCCTTGAGTGTCTATATCTTTAAATTGCTCTTTATTGGTTTCTTCAGATTCAGATAACAAATCATTTTTCTCAAAAAGTTCATTTATTTTTGTACTGTCTAGTAACATCTCTTGTAAATCGAAGTTAGACTTTTCTAAAGATTGATTTTCCAAATCTCCTTCACAACCAAGGTTCCGTTCAAGGCAAAGCCTATATTCAGCATTCCTCAAAGTATAACTGTAGTTCAAGAAGAAGTATTATTCATGATAATCCCAATATCTAACATACACTATAGAAGATAAATGCTACTCTGCATGATTCATGGTACAACGATTGAAGATAAATGATAGAGTGATGGTACCACGTTAAGAAAACATTGATGTAAATGAGAAACACGTGCATGGAGGGGATGAAAACACCATCAAGATTCAGATTTTAAATCCTAGTAGTGGAAAACGAACATACATTGAGCCAAGTTTGGCATGATACAGATGAGCTTATGATTTGGCCTTTTAGCAAAACAAAAGCTAATATGATATCAACATTTTTCTTCATAAAAGAGGGGTGAATGAAGGCATAATGCAGTTAATAAGTCAGCTGCAACCAACCAGGAACCCTCCAAATACAGGGAAAAAGTTTTCCCGAAAAACTTATTAAAAAGTGGAATATATCAGTGTCCAACATATACCCAAATCCGACACTTGCACCTGAAACCTAATAACATAGCCAACAAGCATTGAAACTATCACAACAAGCAGAGGGATATAAAGCCCCTAAACAAGGTTTCTTCTACTTCGCAACCAACCGGAGTATAGAAACATTTAATATAATGAAGCACGTCACATAGAACATGAACATACCCAGTCATCATAGAAGAAATCAACAATTTTGAGAGAGGTTCCCATAGTGCCTCGATGAAGACTTGAAACCTATCAGAAGGAAGTAAACCCAACATGCCCGATATAGTCCTTTTCATGGCATTCACGGTTGTAGGTGATACATCTTTTTGGATAAGGCTAACGTCCAACGGTTCTATCTCATGTATCAGATTGGTAAGGACGGATTTCTGAAAGAAAAATTGCTAAAGCTCAATTACTCAAATTCTAAATCATAAACCTAAAATGATCAAACTCAATCCAAATTCCGCAAATTCATAAAAAAAAGGGGTAACTCTCCAGAATTGAAACTTGTTTTAGGAAAGGCCTACCTTAGGAGGGGTGGGATTGGAACCCAGCCCATCGTGGAAAGGAGAGGCATCGGAATTAGAGTGAGAGAAAGCGAGGAGAGGAGTTATGCGGGATTTTGTAGGGTTGGTATGGGAGAGAGAGCGGAAAGGAGATATGGAAAGAGAGGGAGGAAAGAGGTTGGGGTTGGGGTTTGGAACAATGGCTCGTGTTTGGGAAGAAAAGAAAGGGGGAAGGGAATAAGAGGGAAGAGGGGCGGCCATACAGATTCAGATTTCGCCACCGCGGCTCTCCGTCTCTTTCCTTCTTTCTCACCCAATTGGGATACTTTCCTATTTTTCCTTGGATCCCTCCAGCAGCCACCGGTTATTTAGATCACGTAACACCTTGTCAAGATTACTTTACACATGACGTGGCTTATTTCTCTCGTTTCTCTTTTTCCCCCACTTTAATATAATAAAAAAATATTTTCCTCTTAGGGGTGTTTGATTCAAGGAACCATGTTTGATTGGCCGGGAATCTCATTCCCGGTAATGTTTTATTACCAATAGTAGATTTTTTAGGGTATATTACCGGGAATGTCATTACCTCTCTTCCCTTAGGTATTGTAATATTACCGGCATTTTGGACTAAAATGCCCTTAAATTTTTATTTTTTTTTAAAATATCCTTCTTCTGTCATTGAATAATAAAAATTCTACGAATGTTAAAATTAAATTATCCTTAAATTATTTTAGATTTACAAAAAAAAATCTATAATTAAAATTTTATGAAGTTTAGGGGTTAAAAAATTTATATTTTCATTAAACCTTTTTTATATTTTTAATTTTGTAAAATATTATATAATATTATGAATTTAATTTTTTAAAGAAAATATATAAATATTTTACAAAATTTATACAAATATATAATAAGGACAATTTGGTTAAATAACATTCCAATAATCTTTTATTCCTTTAACCAAACACGGTAATCTTACATTCCTGCTAAACCAACCAAACACAAATACAACATTCCCAGTAATCCTATTCCTTGGTAATCTTTTATTCCCACTGGTAATCTTACATTCCGTGAACCAAACGCACCCTTACAGTTTGTGGGATTCATCAAGTTTTTTTTTAAATAAAAAAATTCGTTGTCATATTAAAGTTTTTTTTATTCAAATATACCTAAAAAAAACTTATCGATATAGTACTCATTCACAATTGATTTTTAATATAATATTCATTTGACGAAATTATTTTTTCCAAAAAAAAGTTTAATGCATACATGAAGATTTAATGGGAAGAAAACAAAAATTACGCGATACAAATTAAATTATAAGTCTTTAGAATATTTCGTTACTTAAAATTTTAAAATAAATTATATCGATTTAAATTTGACATATTAACAAGGACAATGAACCAGATAAACAATTTAGACCAACTAGTAAGATGGTGAAAGTAAATGAATCAAACTATATCAATTGAAAGTATAGATTTGATGTCACATTTGAGCAAATCGTAAACAGAACAGATATTTCCAGTCAAACTTGTAAGAAAAATCTTTAATATCAAGCCGCAGTGACACAAGTGACAACAATGTTTACGGTGAAATCTTCACCACAATCCTTAGGTTAATCATAGCTTTGTTGAAGGCAGTTGTTACCGTTCATGGAATAAGGAAGAAGAGATTTGAGGAATTATGAGAAGCAATGAATTGATTCCATGCTATAAGGTATTCTCGTGTTACTATTTCAAAACCGACATGGCATTGCGTCCGGTATTAATGCGAGCAAAGAGAAACAACATTCAACCCCTGTATTCATTTCCCCTTATGACTGAGTTTGTCCAGATAAAAACTTTTACAGTAATTTGCCTATTACTTGTACATCAAAAAGAAATCAAGTGGATTCATCGTCCACCCTCCCACCCAGAGAAGAATCAACTAGAAAAATTGAAACTAATAATGGAGAATTCCTACCCAATGTAATGACCAATTACAGTGCAGAGATGAAACCTAAAACAGGTGATCCCCTCAAGGCTTAGCATTGAACCAAACATAAAAACAAAAAAGGATTCTGAATTCTTCTGTCTAATCATCATCCTCGGAGTCTGCATTTGAACAACCAAAAAAAAATTAAAATAAATAAAAACAATTCCATGGTAATAAGAGAGGAAGTGTTTTAATCGCTAATTCGGAACAAATGCCTCGAGAGTTGGCAAATTAGACAGGCAGAATTTGAAAACTTTAACTTTTGTAATTCAAAAAGATTTATTTCAGTTGCTTTACAAGCTGGCAACATGGGTTACAAAGTCAAGCAGCAGGTCTTCTTCCTATTAATTCAAGTCAAACTATTGAAAATTTTCATTTTTTAGTGGAACTTCGATGATGTCACCGGATGCATTTAATATTCGAATGCTGCTCTTCTATTTTGCTACAAATAATTAGTATTTATCTAAGGTGCTTTAACACTATCAAGAACTTTTAAAATTTCAATGCTTTCATGTTCCTGACCTCTTTTTTTCGACGACTTATTTTTCGGGGAGATAGAGAGGGTTTAACAGTTCCTTGTAACAAATAACAACAGAAAAGAGAAGTTTTACAATTTCCAAAGAATAAAATGATAAAGGTTCAGACAATCTCCAAACACCCAAATATCATTACGCGAGAGACAAAATGATTTTTTCCCTTTCATTAGTGTTATTTGGGGGTTGGGGATAGAAAAAGACTTACCAGATCTAATGTCTTCTCCAACTTTTCCTCTATTTTTCAATTGTCTAGTGATCATTGAGCAAATGAGAAACCACCAGTAGACATGGAACACAAATAGCATCAGCAACATGGTATTGAAAACATAGTACAGGGATGTGGGATATGACTTTGAAAGATCTAAAAACTCCCGAACATCATAGCTGAGAGAGATAAACCACAAGAGTGGATACATGATCAGCCAGTGTGCAGTAATGTAGTAAAATCAAATTATTAACTATAAAACCCAAACCTTGAGCTTTTAATGACCCAAAATGGAAAGAGTATCAAACGTAGCAAAAGCCAAGAAATGGCAAATAATCCAAAGCACACACTTGCTCCAAGCTCCCTCTCGGAATACTTGAAAACTTTGGCCGCTTCCAAAAACACATCACTTGCATCATGTAGGGCAAGGATAATTGAACCGATGCGGAAAAAGCTGTAAACAAGGTAAACTATAATCATCTTCTAACTTGGATATTCACAAGTAAATATAATTGATAAAACTCGTACAAGGAAAACTTTAAAATACTCGATGGCTATGTTCTCCCTCGAAGAACTCTGTTATACTCCTATATTCTGATGTCAGCATCTATTCCTAAACAACTTGCTAGCAATACCTCTCTTTGACTTCAGTCAACAATTAGATAATGACAACTTCCTAACTAGCAACAGTAAACAATTCTGATGTCGGCATCTATTTCTAAGCAACTGGCTAGAAATACCTCTCTTTGGCTTCAGTCAATAATTAGATTATGACAACTTCATAACTAGCACCAGTAAATAAAATGCTGAGAGGAAAGGATATGACATCATCAAAACAATGAAGAACACAAATTGCAGAGTGAAAAACAGTTGCATTTTCACCAGAGTTGATGAAAAAGTTGACATGTTGCACAATATTTGAAAGATGGCATAAACTTTCTTCTTATATGAAATAGCTAAGCTTCCAGGTTGCCTTTTGTAAAAACTGCTAATTATCCAAAGGATGGCAACACGCCAAAATATTTGATACCATGCCAGTCAACAGTGGCATGTAACAATGTGACCATGTGCTACATCAGCTACTGTATGCACCGTATATGCATACACAAAGCAAACATACTTTAGAGTATATTTATCATGCAATTTGGAGATAAAATGAATATTTTGCCTGTCTGCTATGTGGTAATGACTTCGAATTTGGAGCACATCCACAGAAATGGGCAAATTACCTTCCAATGTATGAGTATCCTATCAGCATTACAGTAATTACATGATGAGACATCATCACAGCAAAATCCTTCCTTCGAGTCTCCCAAGTAAGTAGTGCAGCAATGCTATAGATGTAGAACCCACATTGGCACATGTAGAAAAGACTTAGGGAAAGCCTGAACAAAAAGAAGAAAAAAGAGAAGTTACCTTCCACGATTCAAGACCCAGCAATTAAAGAAGGGAATTTAAAGAGAAAGAACATGTGTCGGGGCATGTATAAAGAAAGCCACATTTTTCAACTAAAATACTGATAAAGCAGATATTTTCCCTGAAAGTAGAATAATATGCCATGAGAGATTGTTTCCTCTTAAGATGGTGACCAGCAAGATACTCCAAAGTCAAGACTGATACATACAGTTGAAAGAGAAAATGGGAACATTTAGACCCGACACCAATGAGAACTAAACAATCAAGTAGAAGTACAATAAAACAAGTCCATAAACTTGTCTGCATATAATAAGAACAAGTTTAGTATAGTTTACCTTCTAATAGTGAAGAAAAAAGGTACAAATGAGCTAAAGTCCAGACAAGAGTGACCACAACAACAAGAAGTCAACAATAACAATCAGATAGTGGATGCAAATCTGCTTTCAACTACATCAATACAAGAATTACTAAGCATTCACCGTAGCTTGACAAAGTGGTACACATGAATGAGTATCATCTTTTCTTTACAAACATGTCTGCAATTAATTTCAAAGTAAAGAAACGGTAAGCTTTTGAGAAGTAAAATGCAGAAAATACATGTATATAAAAATAATTAAAGGTCCCAATTAAGCAAAAGGAAAATAGGACAGGAATTTTTTTTCCCTTTTCCTTTCAGTATACAAAAGTCTTTCCAACCACTAAATACAAGAACAAGAGATGGCTTGTCCCATCTCTTAAGGGATAATCAGACAGGAAAAGAGATTTTATATAATGTAATTTTAGAGAACAAATACACAGATCCTTGACATCCAAGAAGAACATTAACTCTGTCAGTTGATAAAAAAGGACAACTCACCTCATAAAGAGGTGCATGTAACTGCATACTAGCCAAATATATGAGATTGAAAAATATAACAACTGGGTATAAGTCTACAAACAAGGTTACTCACTTCAACTCTTGATCTGGCCAGCCCCTGAAATACTCTTTTGTATCCGTGAACCATGGCTCATTGTAGGTTATTTTCAGAACAAATGTTTCAACAGTAGCATAGTATGCCAGCTTCCACAAAGATTCTGAGCATTTCGCAACTTTTGCTCTTGTGGCATCATTCATCTTCAAAGGAGCAGATCCATTACACAATATCCAGGTGGCCAACCTCTAAAAGCACACGAAGAAAAATTAAAATGTATTAACAAAAACTGAAGTG